TGTTACCCTTGCCAACTTAAATTGGCAACTCACATAGTATGATGTGAAGAATGCATTTCTTCATGGCAGTCTAGATAAGGAAATCTAGATGAGCATTCCTCCAGGATTTTGAAAGCTTAAGAGGTAAAGTAGGCAAATTAAGAAAGGTCTTGTATGGACTAAAAAAATATCAAAGGCTTGGTTCAAAAGATTCATAAAGGTGATGAAAGATTGTGGGTATAAGCAAAGCCAAGGAGATCACACTCTTTTTATCAAGTATTCAGAATCAAGGGGAGTTACAGCGTTTCCAGTGTATATAGATGACATCATAGTCACGGAAGATAATGAGGAAAAAAAATTTGAACTCAGAAGAATATTGATGGAGTTTGAGATCAAAGAACTTGGAAGGCTAAAATACTTTCTCAATGTTGAAGTAGCGTACTCAACTCAAGATATTTTCATATCACAATAGAAGTATGTGATGGGTTTATTGATGGAAACAAAGAAAAAGCGAATGTAACCCTACAACAATGCCAGTAGATCCACATCAAAAATTGGGAGAGTCAAAAGAAGAACCAATGATGAACAGAGAAATGTATCAGAGGCTAGTAGAAGGCTTACATATCTAGCTCACACTCGACCAGACATAGTATACTCAATGAGGGTAATTAGCCAATTCATGCATGATTCATGGGAGCCTCACCTTCGGGCAACATATAAAATATTACATTACTTAAAAGGAACTTTAGGAAAATGAATTTATATCCAAACTGAACAATTCCCTTGCACTGGAAGCTTACACTAACCAGACTATGTTAAGATCAATAGTGGGCAAAAGATCTACTACAGACATTGTACTTTTCTTGGAGGTAATTTGGTAACATGGAGAAGCAAAAAGCAAAATGTGGTGGCTAGAACATCTGCCGAATCAAAATTTTGAGCTATTGCACAAAGGCTATGTGAATTCTTATGGTTGAAGATAATCCTTGATGACTTACAAATTAAGGGAGAAAGTCCAATAAAGTTGTACTATGACAACAAACTAGCTATCAATATTACACAATCCTATCCATATGTACCTCTCTAAAAATTAATATGAAAAGCAAGATAATTTACAAATACAATATACGAATTGAAGATGAGTAATATTGTTGCCTACACCCACAAATTTTTCAATAATTGAAAGAACTTGTCAAAAGAGAAAACAGAAAGATAAGCTTATATAACTTTACATTCTCATGCATAGTGTATAAAATGAAAGGAACAGATACACAAGGCCAAATAAAGGTCAGTGTAAGATATTTAGAGCTTCAAATATGCATTCTTCTACTGTTGTTAAGACAAATTAAGCTCAGAGTTGCAAATCCTTACATTTAAATAGACGGTAACATCTATATTGATAATATCACCATCCTGGAAAAAAAAAAAAAAAAAAAAAAAAAAAGATCGTGACATCTCAATTCATCATCATAAAACAAGCAATTGATTTACAATAAATGTTGTTAATGTTACTAAGAAATCAAAGAGAAGACCTCAAGAACTCGGGAATCTGGTATTCCATGGCAAATGCATTCATTCACTGACGTGCATACACTCTTCGGAAAGCCACCATAACCCAGAGGTGATGGATAGGCTCCATTATCAATTATCATTTGGTGAACAGCCTTGTCAATATCATCAGTCATAATACCTGGCTGCCAATAGAAGCAAGAACCAAAATTTTGCAATAAAATATAGTGGCGATTCATAAATGGGTGCATCATGGACTGATAAACACAAGTAGTTTAAACATAATAACAGAAAGAATAGCTACATTTAAGTTGCTTTTTCTTGGATAAGAAACATGTAAATGAAAAAATGGAATTACAAAAGGAAGTACTGATATGAGCCAAACTTGATCAAAAGTTGCACTCTTCATTTTACCAATATAAAAAGAGACAGAGTAAATGACAACATTTCTTCATGGCTAAAAGCTCAATGAGAAGAATTAAGACATGCTCATTTCCGAACCTCATCATTTCAAAAACAACTCCATTCCTCATTCTCAAAACATCCCAAAAAAATAGGTTGAGTAGCATTCGACCTTATGATCTTAGCCTCACCATTTGAAGGAACCAAAGATATTTAGGCAAGGAGCTCCACCACAGAGAGTGCAGGAACTGACATTACATGCCACATTCAGTATTAACAAAGTGCCAATGAATAAACAGATGATCTAAATTCTTTCCTCCTTTTTTAGAAAGAACACGCCTTAAATGATTGAGAAACATGACGCATGGAGGATACCTCTTTTGAAATTTTTCATGCATTGACTTCAAATGTCCAGATAACAAATATTCTTATTGGGAATGTTCAATGTCAAAATTTATTTGATAAAACTTGGGGGAAGCACAAGGCTTCTTTCCACTGTTCTATAAAGGCATGTTTTTGGAGAAAAGTAAGAGATTGAGGGCTTTTGGGGAATGATGTAGTTTCAGCTCTTTGTTAGGCTACTTCGCTTGAAAGGAGAAAAAAAAATTTAAATAATAAATAAGTAAAAAGATCAGAGGTTTGGAATCATTTGGGACAGGTTTCATTATTTAACTTTGTTTGCCAACATATGTACATTTGTTAAGATTTTTGCCTTCCTTTTGCCCCAATGCAATCTAGATGGTCACATTATATGTAAATTCATGTCAATATGCTCTCTAGTATAGAGAAATGTCAATTAGACATGCAGAGTAGGAAGTATCATTTGAAAGTAGAAGAAAGTAGAAGAAAGTAGAGCAAATAGATACATATAATTTACCCCAGCACGAGAAATAATAAGCAGAAAAATACCTTTACTAATGTCCCTGCATATTCTAGAACTTGGGCTGCAAGCCTCCCAGAAGCTCTCATGCACTCTATACCCTTCTCATCATGAATCTCAGGTCCACTAGCAATTCCAGGTGGTCGCCTAGATTTGACATAAGGAGGCCTTGGTATATTGTCTGGAACAGGTCGAGGAGGAGAAACTTTTCCAGGTCTTAGACGTTTACGATTCATATTTTGCATCTCGTCCAAATTTCTATCAATTTCAATGAGAATGGTTCATTCAACACCTTTTGAAGATCAACATATTTTTGTACTTGAAATATGCTACAAGAAACAATAACGGACACAATTCTTTACATATGCTCATTCTGAAGTTCCAAATTCCATGACAAATATCTAATAGTATTGACCCCTTTAGAAACTGGATCACAAAGGCCACATCCAAATATATAGTCCCTAATGGAGAACTATACGCTACAGTGTGAGTGCAAGTGTAAATATGTAATAAGCACATATAAAGACATCTAAGATGTTAATAAAAATACTCATCCTAACACCCTTTCAACTATATGACCGTCGAATGTGTGGGGGAACATAACTTACATGTTTGTAACTACCAATTACCATCTGCACCGCACATTATGAAATGTACAACTTTCGTCACAGTATACCATTCGAAGTTCACAAATCACGGATATATAGAACTTACTGACATGCGACTTTCCATGAGAATTAAGGAACAGTTTACATCCTCGGTTGTATAAGTGCAAAATACCGATTCCCATAAACGTAACTTTCAGAAAACGAGAGAACAAAACTATGGAGTTTTATACCTTCTATTGAAAAGGTTGGCCAAACCAGAAAGTGTCCTGGATAATTGCATTGAGACATGTTTGCCTCCTACAAAAGAATATACAGATTACCTCCATTTTACCCAGATTTTTCGCTCAAGATAAAAACACGAGAAGCCGAAAAATTGCAAGTGGTTTTATTACATCACAATAACCAGGAAACTAGAACGGATTAGCACGAAAAAAAAACGCTCTACTTGATGAGTCATTCGATGTTGAACTCGGATTACAATCGCTTAACAGCAAATTATCACTGGAGAATAACGGGAAACAACAGGATTTTAAGGAATTGCTAACCGATTGGGTAAGAAGACAAGTACTCAGAAAGAACAAAGGAAAGATGTTGAAGCAAGAAGAGCAACATAGAACGGAAATGAACGAGGAAGGATAAAAGAATACCTGGATTATAGGCGAAGACTTGATGAACAGGCAGCCGAGAGTGAAGGAAATGGTTAGCACCAACTCCCAGAAAGGATGAGAAGAGTTTTGATTCCCCATACAAGGCTCCCACCATTTTTGCTTTCTTCCACAGTCCACACTCGGCCTCTGTCGCTGAAACGCCGAAACACTAAATAGACTTTTATCTTTTTATCATCCAATGCGCGTCTGATCAGCACGAGTCCTTTAAAGAATGCTAACCTGATCAGCACGAGTCCTTTAAAGAATGCTAACCTGATCAGCTAGGTTTAGGTACGTGTGAGCTCGTCTCATGGACCCACGCTCGCACGCGTGGATACCTTTCAGCCTACATTGTAGACTTCTACCGAATCTATTAAAATATACTCGCTATTACATATATGGCATGATCGTTAAGTGTAGAAAAATTTATTGAAAATATTAAAAAAATGATGTCTTTGACTTAAACGATAGTAATAAAAACTTTCCCACACATGGCCCATGTGTGTGACTGTGGGCCAACCAGGCGAGTTCGCATGCGAATGGCTTGGTCGGGTATGTATGACATACAATACCGGACGCCACTGAAAAGGAGGGTCTGCATGATATCGTGGCGAACACAATATCGAATGTACGCGTCCATATCATCAGTAGCATAACGGGGGAGTGCCCTATGTACACAACCATAGCGTGCATAAAGTTCTTAAGGTTTACCTCCATGGCATTATACATACAACGTTCCATCCCCTCACCGCATTACATAGCATAACTGGGTTAAACATAGAGTAAGCATATCGTAGCATACTAGTCATTACATTCATGGCATGTGGGGTTCTCATTACAATCATGACATGTCAATCAAGCTCATACATACAGGGTAGCAAACCGTGTCACAAACATCACATACATAAACATGGCATACATGCATTTCACTGCAAGAAACATATAACCTAGTATACATCAACAACACACATGGTGCATGCAAGGGCCACAGGGCACGCACCAACATACATACATAACTAATGTCAACAGTAAGGTTACTTACCTCCTTGGCCTTGGCCAAAGTCACCCACAACGCTAACTCCGGCGCCTAACTACCTCCTATAAGATAACATGATACACTTAGAGCCCTTTCACAACTAGCTCTTATGCCTAGCTACCAAGGTATGCCCCTATCGCAAGATGTTTTATCAAAATGGAGTTATATTAACCTCAGATGGTTGAAACAAGGGTGAGAATGGCTCCAAAAGGGTCGAAAACCTAAAAATCGGTATACTATTCGGATGTCGAGCCGCCCCTTTCGGCCCAGTGGTGGTGTCCGAGCATGACCTGCAAGGTGCGGGCTGCACGATGGCCGAGACGAACTCGCAGAATGTCGAGGGTCGACCCGCGCCCGCCGCTTCGTCTTCCTCGCTCGAAAGCCTCGACAGCCCTAATTGTAGGGCTTGGCTACTGTCGCCAGTGGAAGCGTCGTCGTTCATCCGTCTCTAGTGGCATGTCTGTTTCTCCTTGCCCCGACGTACACTGGCGTCCGCTTCTACCTAAAGAAGGCGACCACTATGACACTAGGGTTTAAGGGGGTCTGAGTGAATCCCACCAAAAATCGCGAGATTTTCGGCGCACCCCTTTTTTTTTCTCCTTGGAATGTGTATCGTTACATCACTCCCCCCTGCGAAGGACTTTCATCCTCGAAAGAATTTGCATCTACGAACAACTCTGGGCACTTCTCCCTCATCTCATCCTCTCGTTCCCTGGTGGCCTCCTTTGCTGATTGGTTCCCCCACCACACCTTGACAAATGCAATTTCCCTAGTGCGCAAGGTCTTTACCTTGCGAGCTAGAACTCCCACTGGTTTCTCCTCGTAGCTTAAGTCTTCGGTCACGTCCCGATTCGAATAATCTATCACGTGCATGGGGTTCGCTAAGTACTTGCGAAGTGTCGATACATGGAACACGTTGTGTATGGATGAGAGAGACGGGGGTAGGGCTAACCTATACGCAACGGGTCTGATTCGCTCCAAAATCTCGAAGGGTTCTATGAAGCGTAGACTCAATTTTACCCTTGCGTCCAAACCTTAGAACGCCCATCATGGGGGCCACCTTCAGGAATACCATGTTGCCCACTTCGAACTTCAGGTTTCTTCGTCTCGAGTTTGCGTAACTCTTCTATCTACTCTAAGCAGTGCACATCCTCCCCCTGATCTGCTGCATCGCCTCGTTCGTGACTTGGACCAGCTCCGAACCCACCAGTTCCCGTTCTCCTACCTCGACCCAGCATAATGGTGTCCTACATCACCTTCCATACAATGCCTCGTACGGTGCCATACCGATTGTCTCCTAGTAGTTGTTATTATAAGTGAATTCCATAAGATGCAATTTCGAGTCCCAAACTCCCAGAGAAATCAAGTACACCGGCTCACAACATGTCCTCTAGAACTTGGTTCAAGCGTTCCGTCTGTCCATCGGTCTGTGGGTGATACGCTGTGCTGAAGTCCAGTCGAGTGCCCAACGCTTTCTAAAATCCATGCCAAAATGCTGAAGTAAACTGTGGATCTCGGTCTGATACAATCGACACGGGGACCCCATGCAATCTGACAATTTCCTTCATGTACAGTTGTGCCCAATTCTCCACCGTATATGTGACCTTGCCGGGGAGGAAATGTGCTGACTTTGTCAATCTGTCCATGACCACTCATATGACCGTGTAATCCTTTAGCTCTTAGGCAGGCCCACTGTGAAATCCATGGCGATGTTCTCCCACTCCATTCTGGTATATTGAAGGGCTGTAGTAATCTTACTGGTCTCTGTCTAGATACTTTAACTTGTTGGCAAACCAAGCATATGCTGACTAACTTCGCGATATTCTTCTTCATGCCACACCACCAGAAGTGGGGTCTAAGGTTCTGATACATCTTCGTACCGCCAAGGTGTATGATGAATGGGGAGTTATGCGCTTCTCTCGAGATTCACCCCTCAATTCCCCTATCATCGGTGCACACAAGTGACCTTGGTACAGTAACCCACCATCCGCTGACTTGAAGTACCCGTAAGCTGGTTCTGTCTCCATTTCGTTAAATGCCCTCGCTAAACCTGAGTCCCTTGCCTGCGCCTCAATGATTCTCTGCCGAAGGGTGGGCTGTATAGTTAGCCGAGCCAGTTGCGCCTTAATACCTTCTAGAGCTACTACTATTTCCACTCGCTCTAAGTCTACCTGCACTCTAGGTTCTTTCATGATTTATGCCGACGAATGCGCTGTCTTCCTACTTAAGGCATCTGCGACTACGTTGGCCTTCTCGGGGTGGTACTGGACATCTATATCATAATCCTCTACTAGCTCTAGGCACCGTCGTTGTCTCATATTCAACTCCTTCAGGGTGAAGAAGTACTTCGAGCTCTTATGGTCGGTATAAATCTGAGTCCTCTCCCCACATAATCCTTGACTAGCTCTAGCCACCGTCGTTGTCTCATAGTCAACTCTTTAAGGGTAAAGAAGTACTTCAGGCTCTTATGATCGGTATAGATCTGAGTTCTCTCCCCATATAGGTAGTGTCGCCATATCTTTAATGCGAAGACTACCGCTGCTAGTTCCAAGTCATGCACAAGGTAGTTCTTTTCATAGTCCTTCAGCTGTCTGGATGCGAAGGCAATAACCTTCCCACGTTGCATTAACATGCACCCTAGGCCCTTCTTGGAAGCATCACTGAAAATGAAGTAGTTCCCTGTACCATCAGGCATTATGAGCATGGGTGCGGTCGCCAGTCTCTCCTTCAGGTCCCGGAAGCTTGCCTCGCGCTCCTCGGTCCATATGAATGTCGTAGCCTTGAGTTAGTCGTGAGAGGGATGCCACTATCTTGGAGAAGTCCTACACGAAGCGACGATAGTAGCTTGCCAAACCCAGAAAACTCCGTACCTCAGTCACAGTAGTTGGACGGGCCCAGCCAGTGACCACTTCCACCTGGGCAGGGTCAACTGATACTCCTTCTGCCGATATCACATGTCCTAGGAATGAGACTTCGCGTAACCACAACTCACACTTCGAGAACTTGGCATACAACCTATTTTCCCTCAAGACTGTTAAGGCCTTCCTCAGGTGCGTTTAGTGTTCTTGATCCTTCCTTGAATACACCAGGATGCCATCTATGTATACAATGACAAAGGTATCCAAATATTCCTTGAACACCTGGTTCATTAGTTCCATAAACACTACAGGAGCATTGGTGAGTCCAAATGACATTACTACAAACTCATAATGGTCGTACCTTGTTCTGAAAGCTTTTTTCGGCACGTCCTCATTTTTTATCTTGATCTAGTGGTAACCTGAACAAAGGTCAATTTTTGAAAACATTGTGGCCTCTCTAAGTTGATCAAACAAGTCTTCGATGCGTGGGAGGGGTACCTATTCTTCACTGTCCTCTTATTTAGTTCCTTGTAATCAATGCACAAACGCATGTACCGTTTTTTTCTTGTCGAATAATACCGGTGCACCCCAAGGCGACACGCTCGGTCTGATAAACCCCTTGTCTAGCAGTTCTTGTAGTTGCACCTTAAGTTCTTTCAGCTCCGCTGGTGCCATGCGGTACGGGGCCTTGGATATGGGGTCAGTTCCTGGTTCTAGTTTTATAGCGAAGTCGACATCTCGGGATGGGGGAGTCCTTGACAAGTTCTCTAGAAACACATCTGGGAACTCACTCACTACAAACAACTCGGTTAGGGAGACACCTTCTTCCTTAATCCTTGCCACGCTGGCTAGTATCGCCCAGGCCTCGTGCTAGACCAACTTCTTTGCCTTCATCATCAATATCACCTTGGGCATTGTACCCAGACTGGTGCCCCTGAATTTGAACTCGTTCCTTAATGGTGGCGTGAAAATGACCTCCTTCTTGTGACAATTTATGCTAGCATGGTTTTCCACTAGCCAATCCATGCCTAGGATTACATCGTACACGATCATATCGACCACCATTAAGTCTACACACAAGCTAACCCCTAATACTACTACGTGACCATCCTTTACCCTATAGGCGGCGACCATATCCACCCCTGTCGGGGTGCCTACTAGAAAATCATGTAACAAGGGTTCTAACATGATCCTTGCTTGACTAACAAAATCAATGGAAATAAAGGAGTGCGTAGACCCATAGTCAAATAACGTCAAAGCAAAATGACCAAGGACGGATAGTGTACCTGTCACCGCTGCATTCGGGTTTTCCACGTCCCTGCTAGTGGAGGCATAGGCTCTTGCTGGAGGGCAGTTCTGGGTGGGGGCATCTGCTATGCGTAGTGGCCTCTACTAACCCCCAACATCATTGACACGGCCTCCCGGGCAGTCTCTAGCTAAGTGACCCTCATTCCCGCATCGAAAGTAGGCCCTAGAGCGAGCCAGGCGCCGCCTCCAATGGTTCTTCCCACACTCGTTGCACTTGAGTCTATCGTCTACCCTGCCCTCTCTCTCCTGCTGGCCCCGCCTTAGATCACGGTGCCTTCTGTCTGGTCGTCTCGGTGGTGGCAATGAGGATGAATCGCAACGCCGTCTGGCTGGTCGCCTCGATGGCGGCGATGAGGATGAATCGTGATGGTCATCTTAATCACGACGTCGCCTCTGTCTCTTGGTTGATGAGCGGGACTCACGGTGGTCATCTCAGTCACTATGTCATTTTCTTCTCTAGGTCGATGAGCGGGATTCACTCGGTTCATCGGTCCCCTCCATGGCCCATGCTACTCTCAGCGCGTCAGCATAAGTCATAGGTGCTATCGCTTCAACCACGTTACGTATCTTCTGGTACAACCCCAGCACAAACCGGCGGGTTGTCCTGTAGTCGGTGTCTACCAAGTTCGGGGCGAAGCATTTCAACTTGGCGAACTCTCTAACATAGGTAGTGACCGAACACCCTCTCTATTTTAGGTGAGTGAATTCCTGATGCTTGCGGGTCTAGACGTCCTCTGGGTAGTACGCCTTTGCAAAGGCCTCCTTAAATTTTATCCATGAGATTCTGCCACCCCGAGTCTGATAAGCTCTCGGGTGGAGCGCCACCATACCTGAGCATCGGCACGCAGCATGAATGTTGCACATTCCACCTTTTGATCTTCAGGACAGTTTGTCAGCTTGAATACAGTCTCTACGGAACTCAACCACAATTGTGCCTCTATCGGGTCATCAGAAGTCCCATTCAAGGTCTATGGGTCACCTCGCTTAAAATCCCGCAGGCACCTAGCTTCCCTAGTGGAGGCTGAGTCATTAGTTGGCTGATCACCAGACAGGTTTCGTACTACAATTCGCAATATGTCAACCAATTATGCCGCTGAGTCTTGGGCGGGCTAGGGTGTCGCTGGCAGCGGGCACGTCATCGTTATGTCGGGCCCCTTCACAGTTTCCTCGTGGTTGGGACCCCATCCCCTCACGCTCGTACCCCTAACTGGGGTTCACCTTATAGTGCTCCCTCCTCGCGTCCTAGGTGGCATATCTAAACCTAGCAATAGCTGTGAGGTTACGTACTAATCTATCCACTTCTATGAACAATCACAAGGGTATAAGTCGCGTACACATGGAATGACATTAGCCGGATACACACACAAGCATATATCTGTCACATCATGGAACATATCAACATCAGGACAAGAGAGCGTACAATCGTAATTCTTCCTTACAATATATACATATACCTGACGGTAATGTTGTGGTTGCTAGAGGACCATGGAAATTCTTTAGGCCTACATCGTAGACCAATCTACAAGATCTGTGACCCAATTAGCGACGTTACCTTGTACTCTATCTGTGACCCAACTGTAACGCCCCGAATTTTCTCTAACCCAATTAGCGACGTTGCCTTGTACTTGCATAACGACAGAACGAGAGTTCACGTCAGATAGTCTCAATTTTCTTAATTAAGATCAAATTTATCTCTGAGAGGGTCGAAAATGTAGGAATCGGTATCAAAAAGTGCAATATGAATTGAATAACCCATTTTTGAGCCGTCGGAGTTGCCAAGTGAGCTGAAGGAGTCGACATTTGTGTATGCGACATGCGTCGCTCTTAGGAGATGACACGTCATGGGTGGCGTTATGGGTCAAGGCGCATACTTCGCGTCATTAACTCAGGTACGCTGGTCATGGGATGTGGATGGGCTTCAGGGCTATTGGTTCGTGACCATTGGGCTTTAGTTCATGGGCCAAGGTTTGGGTCACAGTCGCGTTATGTGTATTGAGCATGGTTCCGGGTCATACATACCATTGGGTCGTCACTACATCGGGCTAAGCTTTTGGGTACTGTGTATTGGGCCTTGTATTGATTTGGGCCTTCGAAAATTGGGTTATTGGTGGTCGGGATGCTACTCATGTATCTGATTCGAATCCGACCTGGATCCACAAACTTCATTTTCTCCACCCAATTCCTTTGCGTTTTCCGACCAGTTTTCTCTCTCCTCTAAAACATCGCTCCGACGTTCGTTTCTCACCATTTTTCTTTGGTTCTTTATCGTTTCTCCTTTCTCTTCACCTCCCATGTTGTATTATAGATGAAAAACACCTATAACACCCAAATCTATGATGGTCCAAGACAACTTGAAACTCACTTTTGATTCTGACGATAAGGAACAATATTAAAGGCGTGGAACTCTTCTCTCGTGTATGTGCAAACGTCAGTAGATTTTTTCATCGCTTGAGATGGCCGTTTCTGTGGACTTCTGACAATCAAGAGGAAATCGTCGACGGAGTAAAAAACAGCCGAATTTGTTGGAACAAAATGAAATGAGAGAGAGAAATCTTGGGATTTGTTTTACTAAAAAGGGGTGATTTTGTTTCTCATTAGATTAAATTTAAATAATTATCTTATCCTAAAAATGTCAGTGGCAACTAAATCTGTCACCTCCCTCCAAAGGCCACCTAAAAAATGGTAATGACGTGTTGGTGAAATGGTCAACAGAAAATATTCAATC